CTAGTCTCGGGTACATGTCCATACCCAGGATACTGCGAGACTTGATGGATAGATCCGAGGACGATCCGGTCGTGGATGCCTTCGTTAACTACGCTACTGAGGTCCCTTTGGCAGTGTGGCTGAGGTGGTTGCCCATGCTACTGGAGTTACTCGTTCACGGCTCTGAAGCTGAGGCCGGGTGTTGTGCCAAGAAGCTGCTACTAGCTCTGGCGGAGGAGTACCCTCAGAGAGTCTACTATCGTGCGGCAGCTTTATCGGCCCAAACGGAGAATCTGGATGATCCTAAGAGTGCCAGGGCCCATGCCGTTTGTCAGGAGATGATCCAAACTGTTGAACGCATCGCCCCTGAGTGCATCGAGTTCTCAGAGGCTCTATTGGAATGCATGGCTCCTCATCCTGTGGAGCAGGCTGCTGCTGAGGCTGCCGAGGTGTTGTCTACTATGAGGAGGCGTCCCACGAGCCCATTGCCATCGACTGATAAGCTCGTGGCTTTGGCCAAGGCGGCTCGTGTAACGGTGGAGGGCACGGACTTGGCCACTTTCGAAAGGCTGGAATCATTCTGCACTGAGATCTTGGCCAAATGTGATCAATATCAGCAAGAGGATCGGCACTCTATCTCTCAGTTTGAAGCACTGAGGACCTCTCATCTTCGTCCCAAGCTGGAAGTCCCATGGCTAACAATGTGCCAGAATAGAGCCCTTCTGTCTGGTCCGGGCATGGCCCTCACGGAAAGCCGTGCTTTTTTATCAATGAGTGGGGTGCTGCGGAATGTGGAATATGTAACCCCTGCCGGGTCTGGCAGAAGCCCACTGAGCCCTAAGGTTGGCCAGATCACTATAATTGCCAGTAATGGGCGTCGATATTACTGGCTTGCTAGAACGGATCGTCGCGGCGGCGGTGGCGGCGGCGGTCAGGATTCTCTTGCGCCCAGGCTGAGTGGCGGGCCGGGACAGTTCGTGGGAGCTCTTAATGGCTTCTTACAGAAGTCCAATAACCCGAAGGTTTATAGCCCCAAGTTGGCCCGACTCCACTGTGTGGATGTTATACCACTTCCATCGAAGGACTGCTGGTTGGAAGAGTCAACTTGTGCAACGGGGTGGTACACTAGTATACAGCAGAGCCTTGTGGAGATCGTAGACATCGATAGCCTCATCGCCCAGTGTAGTCGGAGGGACTCCAGTACCATGCAAGGGGCAAGGTAAGCCTTGCGTCGAGTTGCTCGTTGGTCACCTCTTCTCCTTGATCAGGTCCTACACCCTCATAACCTCACAGAGCAGCGTGGCTCCCTCTGAGCTCCCTGCTATACCGGCTACAGTATTGAGGGAGTGTATTGTCCGTGGTTGTCGAGCAGCATACGGTCTGGCTGGTGGTGCTAGCCATGCGGCGGCATCCAGGTTATCAGCGGAGCTGGCCAGCCAACTTGGCCTGGTATCCGTTATTGGCTTCATATTGGGGACTGACCCCATGCGTTGCCATCCGGACGGATGTGTCTTTTCCACTACTCTACCGGGTGAGTGCTCCTATTGGTATTTTGATAAGAAACGTCCTCGTCGATTAGGGTCGATGCCAGTGTCCTCTGTGAAGAGCTGGGAGATAGGCAGCGGGCTGCACCCCATACCTTTCCGCTTCACTCGAGGTCTTTGTGAGCTCCTAGGGGATCGCAACTGGTCCATTGTGATGCCGGCTGTTATGGTTGCCATGGCCGAAGCCTTAGTAGACTATAAGCAGGTATTCCTCGATTTGGTCCGGCTAGAGCTACGCTCACAGTTGACAAGGTGAGATTGGCTGCATGAGGATGCTTTCAATGAACTTCATTCCTTTCATCAGCACCTCAGCTTCGCCTCGTTCCCTCTCTAATACTGACCTCACGAACGAGATCGAACGTCGTATCGGCCTTGTTGGACAGAGGCTGGACTTCATCGCTCAACCAGGTGGTGATATTAGAACCTATGCTCACCATGTGACAGAGCTCATCGAGAGGGCACGCAGTGGTGATGACATTGCCGCTGTCGCTAGCTACGACTGGCTGCCTTGGTTATGATGATGCTTCATCATTCAGACGTAAATTCATATATAATGCTGTACCATTCCACCACCCTATATTTCTCTATTGGACAGATCAGCAACTGTTGGGGTTGTTCACTCTGGCTGGCGGACACTAGCCGTAGAGCTTTTATCCTCCCCACTCTTATGAGCCCCCTTGTCTACCCTACTAGCCCTCC